CCTGAGGCAAAAGGGAAAATTCATAATACTGACATTTCATCATGAATGATAGACTTCTTTGCTGTAGATTTTTTTTAAAAATATTGCATTAAAATATTATCCTGATTACTGAGGTTTTTAGCACCCCCTTAAATTTTGTCCTCACCTCAGTTGGTCAGGGTCCTGCAAACCACCAACCTAGCTGGACACCCTGCACCATCAGCGCCTGCCTCTGACCCCAGTGCCACCTGACTGCAGGGAACACAGAAGTTCTCTTTTGCCGCTATACCCCACCTGCCAAAGCCAAGCTCCATTATGATAATACAAGATAGTGGTATGTACACAGGAAAGGAGTAATCAATTGTTACTCCAAAAATCAATTGTTTTTGTCCAGAGTCCCAATCTCTTTCTTAGGGCCTCGTCTCATCCTAGCAAACATAGCTATAGCTGAAATATGTAGGAAAGCTAGGCTGTAAATGTTAAAACTCTAAGTGAGCCTGGTTCATCGTCCCTCTCCTCCACCCCCATTAGAACCACTGAGCTGCATCAGTTAGGACACAGTTACTCAAAAGTGGTCCAGCAGTGTCAGCTGCACCTGCAAGTTTACCAGAAGTACAATACTCAGGCTCCTTCCTAGATCTACAGGAACAGCAGTTGGTGGGTGGGGAGAGGAATCCGGGTTTTAACAAGCTCTCCAGATGCTTCAGATGATTGCACGCTGAATTTTGAGAAATGCTGATAGTGTAAACATCTATCTACTAACGGATTTGAGATAACCGCTGGAGGCTTCCCTGGATACCTAAGTCACCCCCAAAGAGAAAGGCAGGGCTTGTCTGAATTCCTCTTGTGTATAGCAGGGTGGCCCAGCAGGTATGATGTGATGTCAGCCATAGTGTCGCAGGGATAGAGATTTGGCCAAATGAATGATTTTCCTGGGAACAAGCCATTATACTGGGCACGCCCAGCAAAGGGAGCAGAGGTGCTAAATCTTTCCTCAAGCTCAAGAAGCAAAGATAAGGCCAGACTAGGGGGAAAAAAAAAAACAATCCAGGAACCCATGAACATTCTTACAAGGGAGGCTGTGAAGTCCGAGGCTCCTTTTCCTTAGCTGAACAGCACATGAGCGGCTAAAGGCACAAGGTTAGAGAAAACAGGTCTGGAAAGCGGCGCAGTGTGCATCTGAGATGTGCACAGTGTTTGGGGTTTGCCATCGATACTGTTACAGCTGCAACTCACCTCACTTTTTTACAAAAACAGATGCGCCGGGACTGTTTCCAAAGGAGCTATTTCTCTCTAGTCAAAAATACTCAGGAGTTGTAAAAGCCACAGTTGGTTAGAATTTAAGATTCCACAGGGGGGAAAAAATAAATGTCAACCCCAAAGTAAGGTTAATTTTACCCCAGTTTTGTGCAATCATTTGCACATAGAAAGCATTTATTAAGATATCATCTGGTTGAGGTTTATAAACAAAGAATCTACTTATGAAATCACAGTTAATTTGAGAATATAATTTTGCAAAGAGCATGAAGTGGGTTGAAAGCACCCAGGACCAAAATGAATTGGGCAGGTGTGGGGAGGTGGTCCAAAGAATGGCTTATCCAGAATCAAGAGAGCAAGGAGCGGAGGAGGAGGAAGGAACTGAGGACCCTCTGATTCAGCACATACAGCCCCTGGGGGAGGCTCCTGATTAGAAAACCTGCATGGGAGTCAGCAGGTGGTTGTCTCATCACCAGCTCAATCTCCTCATGGCCTAAGCAGAGCCATAAAATCGTTCTTCCATCTCCCACATCCCTTGCCATTTCACACAGCTGGGACTTGTATATTCCATTAATCTTACCTCCAGCCAGACATCTGCACTCTCTCTGTCTCTCACAGGAAAGCTGCACTGCTCTTCTGGGGTGTTCGCAGACATTATCTTGCCTCAGAAGATAATTCTGGGGCAGTTCTTCTCTGGGTTCTCAGTCCACCTCCCTGACCACCGGAAAGTGCCTTCCCTTCATAACCCAAACCCTTCAGATCCTCACTCTTAGTGCGTATTTCACGGTAACTGTTTATAAGTCTGTTTCTCCCAATAGACCATGACCTACTTGAAGGTAAAAACAAAATTTTATGTACTAGACGCCTGGTACATAGTAGGAGGTTAACAATTCCTGCTAAAAGAATAAATGAACACAGAATGGAAATCGGGAATAATGACATTGCATAGAAATGCTTGCTAAAGAGTGTCAGTAAGAAAAAACTTGGAGCAGAGGTGGACTTGGGAGAGCAGATAGCATTGTAGAGGTCTCGTCTCCTCTCCTCTTTACTGCCCTGTGTCAGTCTTGAATTGAAGCAAGGTGTTTGCAGGAGGCCTAAAAGCTGACTAAGGTCTTCTGGAGAATGAAAGAAAGATAGGCTTTCTCAAGTAGGGCCATTCAAGAGGTATTTCAGGTTGCAAGTGCTGGGGTGAGGGAGGGTAAGGAGGCAAAGCCTTCACTTTAGAAATCATGTTCTCATTTTGAAAACCATAGAGATAGGCAAGACATAACTGTTCAGAGTAATCTCTGTCCTCTTGGCCAGGGAGAGAGGCAAAGGGGAGACCCATTGTCCAGTCTGCTAAACCAGGTGGAGGAGAAAACTAGAATTCAGGCAAACAGCCCCTCAGGATAAAAGAAATCACATTTGCCTGGTACCCATCAGTGTTGCTTTCAAGAAATTGGGTATCACATAAGGGTGAAAACTCAAGTGGTGACAGGGCCCAGGTACTCCAGAGGACTGTGTGAAGAGAGAGGAGGTAGTGTGGGGTGGGGAAGTGGAGGCCATCCTGTACCCAGGACCCCCACAAACTCCTGCCCACAGCTGCTACTCAGCCTTAGATGGTTACCTCTATGCAGGAACACGGGCCCATGATTGCTAGCCCTTTCAAATTTTTATGAAAAAAGTCCCAGTTTAATATTAAATTTCTAAATTTTGAAAGGTAAAAAGTAAACAAATTATTTTAAGTTATGCTTGAGTCTCCCTTGCTCTAGCCAAACAATGCATGCCTGAAGGCTGTCTCTGGCCCCAAGGTCATTAATCTGTAACTGTGAATGATTTGAAGGAAGAAATGGATACTTGGGGAGGCCTCCGTGGGTCAGAAGGTGGACATCACTCAATATTATTCCCTGGCCTTCTACATGTCTTAGATATCCCCATGGTCTTGTCCACTAAAAGTAGATTTTTCCACTGACACTTTCTAGAAGGAAGAGCATCTGAACTTTTTAAAATAGAGAATCAACAAGTTCACCACACAGGGAATTTAGCTAAGGGCTATTTTCCAAGGTCAGTTAATAAGGCAAAAGCAGAGAAACCTTAACGTTTGGTGTATTCAGTTGGTGTTTTCAGAAGAGAGACAAGTTTGCTGTGCTTCCACTAAGAAAAGTAAAGATCTGCTCACTCACCGGCTACTGCAGACAGTAAATAATCAAACAGAAATGTATTTTTCTTAAAAAAAGGAAAAAGATGGCTCTGTAAACTTTTATTTCAGAGGTGTGGTGCCGGAGTGGCCCTGAGCTAGATTTCCAGCAGATGATTTTTTTTCCACCTAGAAATAAACTGAGACAGAACACTGGTAGGGGCTGGCCGTGGCTGCTGGTGCAGAGAATGAGTGGAGGGGGAAAGACAGGGAGAGATTCCAGAAGTGTTCCAGAGCCAGAGTCGAAGCACAAACTTAACGGGTCATATACAGGTTTAAATCAATGATCTGAGCTCAAATAGTTTTTACAAAGTCATTTTTTATGAGCCTCAGAATAATGCAATTGAAATGGTTTAAAATCAATTTTAACTCATTTTCCATTCATAAAATACGAGGCGAGGGAACCGATTTTTCTGGTTCACTGGAGACACAGTAAGGGTTTCCATCGTAGAGAAAGAGCTTGATTTCAGCTCAGACAGATATTTCAAGCTTCAAGGGCTGTGTCTAGACTGAGAAGGATTTGCCACCTCCAAAGTCCTACCAAGCAAGGAGTGTAAATATATTTCAGGGCAGCTCAGGTGCTGGGGTTCCTGCAGAGCTAAACAACCAGCTGCGTCTGGAGCCCTTGCTTATTACGATTTCAGCCTCCCAGAGTGAGGACGGTATCATCAGCACACTTAAAAGTAAAGCCTGCCAGGGGAGAAAACTCTGAATCAGTGAGGTCTTCCTGCCCCGTGTGCGGGAGTGTGTGAATGTGTGTGCGTGTCTCCGTGAGAGAGAGAGGGAGCCAGTGTATGTTCTCATTAGGGGACGATCTGCGATTTGACAGCCTCACTGCTGCCGCTCCTGCTGCTGCGGCTGTATGGTCTGTCATTAGTTGAAAGGGCTGTGAGGGCTTAAAGGAACTGCAGTTCCGAGGGCTGAGCACTGCTGAGTGGTCTCCCCGTCAAACAGCAGACAAGATTTTCTGCAGGGTTGGAAACTTGAACCTATTACCACTTCCTCAGCTCAGCAAAGCAGGCAGCACTACAGAGGATAAGGTAAGAGAAGAAATTGCTCTCTATTGGGGATGCAGGGCAGGGAGGCCTGGGGAAATGTAGGCTCAAAGGCTGTTTTATTATACCAAAGATCTCTGGAGAGAGTGAGAGAGAGAGAGAGCAAAGAAGGCAACAACTAAACTCCCTCCCACCTTGACCAGTGAGCCTCTTGGCTTTTTCACTCCGGTACCTATTTCTTCTTTATTATACTTTCCCAAGCATCTGAGGGGCTTCTTGGTATTTATTTTCCTGTTAGCTGATACTGCCTAGTTTTTTTTATTCTTCTTTCCAATTGGACACTGCTTTCAAAACAAGGAGCTTTTTCCATTCTCTTTTCTTTAGCATTTTTCTCCATTAAGAGGGAGCTGGTCAAAATAGTTACTCCATCCTACTGTGTGATTGCAATGAGAGAAGTTTTCCTAAGTACATACGAGCCCTATTTCTGTAGGAAAAAGTGGAAGGTGGAAGGAGAGGAAGTGAGAGTTGCCTGTGACTGTGACTTGATCAGAAGTGGTGACATTGTGAATGAATATGTACCATAACTCTTCTCAGGGAGATAGGCGTGCCGTGATAAAGGTGGGCACTGGGCAGAAGATGTTTTGAGCAGTCTGTGTCCGAGAGAAGTTTTTAAGCCAGTAAAGATGGAGAATGAGACCATCAGTGAACTGAACCAAACACAGCTTCAGCCACGAGCAGTGGTGTCCCTGGAGTACCAAGTGGTCACCATCTCACTCGTGCTCGTTATCTGTGGTCTGGGCATCGTGGGCAACATCATGGTAGTCCTGGTGGTCTTGAGAACCAAGCACATGAGGACGCCCACGAACTGCTACCTGGTGAGTCTGGCAGTAGCTGATCTCATGGTCCTGGTGGCTGCAGGCCTTCCCAACATCACAGACAGCGTCTACGGCTCCTGGGTCTACGGCTATGTCGGATGCCTGTGTATCACTTACCTGCAGTACTTGGGAATTAATGCATCCTCTTGTTCAATCACAGCCTTCACCATTGAGAGGTACATAGCGATCTGCCATCCCATCAAAGCTCAGTTCCTCTGCACATTTTCCAGAGCCAAAAAGATCATCATCTTTGTCTGGGGTTTCACATCCATTTATTGTATGCTCTGGTTCTTTTTGCTGGATCTCAATATTAGCACCTACAAAGATGCTATTGTGGTGTCCTGCGGCTACAAGATCTCCCGGAATTACTACTCACCTATTTACCTAATGGACTTTGGTGTCTTTTATGTTGTGCCAATGATCCTGGCCACTGTCCTCTATGGATTCATAGCTAGAATCCTCTTCTTAAATCCCATTCCTTCAGATCCTAAAGAAAACTCTAAGACGTGGAAAAATGAGTCAACCCACCAGAACAAGAACTTGAATTTAAATACCTCTAATAGATGTTTCAACAGCACAGTCTCTTCAAGGAAGCAGGTAAGCAAAACTGAACCTCCGAGTCCATAGAGGAAATGTGAGCTAGAGTGTCTTGTAAGATGGGATCAAGTTTGCCTATCTAGGTGATGGTGAAATCAAAATACAATCACATAAGTGTTTCACAGTGTAAGCTTCTGCTTTACATATTAAATCCATCTCTAAAGCAACTGAAGATCTAAAAATAGGTGGGGAAAATGTGATAGCACATCAGCAGGTATCAGTTCAGTTGCCATGCAGATATAAGAAATATAAACAGAAACTCCAGAACTCCACCTTTAAAAGGTTTGTCTCTCTCTGGAGTTATTATTAGAATATTTGAATCCTTTCTGGCTTCGGTAGGGATGAACTTTACTGCATGACAAAGAATTACTCTAAAAATTCTATTGCACAACAAAGATTTGACAAGATAGTTTGAGAAGAGATAAGTTAAACAGTGAAACTTTCCTTGCCATTCTGTACTTACAACTGAGACATAACTGAAAGAAGTTCCTAGACTTATTTTTGTTAACCTTAGTGGGGAAGATTCTATCACCCTCTCCTCCAGCTCCCTACAGGGTGTCCCCACATGCAGAAGCAGAAAACACACTTGGCTCAGGAAATGTCCAAATAAAAGGGGCCACCACCAAGCACAGTTTGTTATAAAAATAATTGAATTGAAATTTTTTGAGGCTGGTGTTCCTGCAAAGTTTAACTAAAAATTCTTTTATGCTCTTAGATCATTTTAATGCCCGCATGGTTACACTGGAATAGTGGTTTTACCAGTGAGTGAAGTACAACTTTATTACAGTGGATGTGATTTGTAAGACAATGTAGGAATAAATGTTTTTATACCACTTATCTATATTCACATGATTGTCCTAAGTTACTAACAAACTTACCTTTTGGTTTCTTTTTCTTCTTTGTTAAACATAATAAACAGACAGTAAATATTTATTCTGATAGCTGAAAAGAAAACTTGAAATTCACAATACTGGTTCTTTCAAATGGGTTTAATTATCTCGTATTTTTTCTGCAGGAAATATAGTTCTTTCTATATGCACAGGTATGAACTGGGTGTACTTTTAAAAAAACATGCATATAGATCATCCACACTATTGCTTCCTAAACTCTAGCTGATCTGTAAAGAATTTTAATTGGATATATGGGTGGGCACACAGTAAAATAAACTACTAAAAAATCTAGATTCTGCAGATATACATGAAATTAATAATGAACTACAACTAACAAGAAATACATGCAGCATTTTAATTGATACTATGATACTTGATACATATAAAATTCATTTGTAAAAATACCTGGATGATGGAAGGGAAGACCTAAGCAACTATTGCCAGCTTTTAGGTTTCTAATATCCAATCTAGCAGTGCTACCTAATACAACGTACGTCTGGCCACCTATTGCCCAAACATGATTAATGGAAATTCAGAGAGATCTGTTGACTATCTGCCAAGACAAACGTTAACAAACACAATATGAGAGTAAAGAATATGTACATCCTAATTAGAGACCAAACACAGGCTAATGTCTGCAGCAAGGAAGTGTAGTGAGTACGTTCATTCATTAGACTCCAATTTATGGTCTTGTTATAGATTCTAAAAAATCATTTGTCTCATCTAATGTCCTTTCTTTCAATTACAGTCATTAATGCCTATCAGCCCTAATAATATGCTTTAAATAACTAATTTGGTTACATGTTCACACTTTTATTTCAAAGCTCTTACAGATATGCTGTCTCTACAGAGGTGGTGTGATAGAAGAAAAAGCCAAGGATTTGATTCCAAAGAACCCTGAACTTGAATGCCAGGGTTCCAATCAAGCTCCACAAGCTTGAATAAGTAGAACTCTGAGAACCTTAGTTTTCTCATCCACGAAGCAGGATCCATAGCAACATCCAGGATCAGTGTGAAGGCTCAATAGAGGATCTTATGAAAGATACCAAAGGGGGACTGGTGATTAACGCCAGAGTGTTAGGTAGGCTCTTGCCTAGTTTATAAAAATGTTGGCAACTGTAAGGGAATACAGATTTGTTCTTAAAATGATACATTCACTGCTTAAACAGAGAGTATTTGTTGAAAAGATGTGTATTTGTATTACAACTTCTTTAAAGAGCTTTTTAATAATTAGGGCCTTGGGCAGCACCTGTGGCTCAAAGGAGTAGGGCGCCAGCCCCATATGCCATAGGTGGCAGGTTCAAACCCAGCCCTGGCCAAAAACTGCACAAATAATAATCATAATAATAATTAAGGCATTTGGAAATCTATGCAGAACATTCAGGTTATCATGTTAACATCACTGTCCATCAGCATCTAGGAACAAAGGATGACAAATGTCCAACAATGGGCAAGGCGGTTCTGTATGATGAAGTGTCCCTGTTACAAATAACCAAAATGCCCTCACTGAGAAACATACCGCGACGCATAAATCAATAGCAGTGCACTTAAGTAATGTGTCCTGTAATTCAGTCCTGAGAATAGATGGGATGGGAGTTCAGAGAAAAGGGAAATGATGGGGCTATAGGAACCAGAGATGTCTTCGTGGAACAGGTGGCATTTGAGACAGCTGTGGAAAGAGGAGGATAACTTGTAAAGTAAAAGTCAAGAGGGACGGCATTCCACGCGACATACAGGATGGGTATGGGTCTGGAGACAGGCAAGGAGGGGTGCACGGGGGGTGGGGACTTTCATGGGATGCCGTGACTTGGTTGCCTAAAATGAATAATGTATTTGGGGGAGCAGTAAAAGGTAAGATTAGACTTATAAAAGTGTGCATGTGGTGGGGGGCGGGGAGAAGGGAGGTGGCAGAGGATCCCACAGTTAGGCAGAGAAAAGAGTTTGAACTTAATGCCGAGGCAAGAATATGAGTGGCGAACGGGGAGCAGCAGTACTGAAGGTGGCCTCTGAGGATGGGAAATCTGACGGCTGCAGAGGAGGCAGATTTGAAGGGCAGGAGAGGGGTGGGAGAAAGACCACTGGGGAAGTTGTGGGTAGTGACACGGGCATGACGTAGTAGGATCTTCTATCAGGAGAATTTGAAGTAAGGTGTAAAGCAAAGAGATGTTTCAAAGAAAGAAAGGGTGCGATGTGACGATATTAGACACACAGGATGAAGCGGGGGTGGCGGGGGGTGGGGGGGGTCAGTTCAACACGGCACTGGGCTCTGAGTCTGGAAGAGAAGTGGTGCCCTGCTGAATGGGAACAGAGAGCAGGAAAGCACAGCCAGTTTTGTCCCAAATTAGTGACCTTTAATCTGGCTTTATCCACTTCCAAAATAATTTTTTTAATTAAATCTTAAAGAGGTTCAAACCTCTACCTTCTATAACCCAAGACCTGTAATTTTCGTATTCTCTCTGCATGTTTTCTTTCAGGCAAGTTTAATTTACATTTTAAAAGATATTCATCAGGGTCAGGTCTTTCTAACCAAATTGTATTAAAGTCAAATGTGCATAGTCTAACAGCACTACCTTTAAAAAGGAAATACAATGCAGGGGACAAAGTGAGGTTTGTGTTTGGTTATTTGTTTTTAAGTTATGTCCCCTATGCAGAAAATCTAGGCCAGACTATTTTTTCCCTATTTTTCAGAGATTTGTTTACATTTTAGAAAACCACCTAAATATTGAATAAATTCAGTAAAACAAATTACTCAAACTTATGACTTGAAATTGTATAGACAAAAAGATTATCTGGGGTGGTGCCTGTGACTCAGTGAGTAGGGCACCGGCCCCATATAGCAAGGGTGGCGGGATCAAACCCGGCCCCGGCCAAACTGAAACAACAAAAAAATAGCCGGGCATTGTGGCGAGCACCTGTAGTTCCGGCCACTTGGGAGGCTGAGGCAAGAGAATCACCTAAGCCCAAGAGCTGGAGGTTGCTGTGAGCTATGATGCCACAGCACTCTACCAAGGGCAACAAAGTGAGACTCTGTCTCTTAAAAAAAAAAAAAAAGATTATCTAATTAAACATTATGCTATTTTATAATTGGTTGACACTAAGGAGGCGTGGTTTAAATTATGACCTTTGTTACATTCCAGGTCTATATCTGAAGTGTCTAAAGGTTTCTTCAGCTGGGTTAATTCAGGTGCTCAGCATTATGTAGATAAAATACTCTGTCATTGACTGGATCTTTCAGTATTTTAGAAGCACAGAAATGCCTGACCATCTTTGTAAAGGGGTATAATGTCAATAAGTGCCTTCAATTCAGATGTGTACTTTTCACAGATTGCAAGGATATGCAGAATATTTTTTAGATGATGCTACTAGTTTTATTTTCAGTGGAATCACTCTGAAACTTTTTCTTCATTCTTACAGTATAACTGGTAGGGGAACCATGTAACATAGTCCTAAGAGTTAATGGTAAATTTTTCATTATGGGTTTTACTTTACTAATCAAGCCTTAAAATATCCAACAGTCAGTTTCCATAAAATTCTTAAAAGTCTTCCACTGTATTAGAAGGAATGCTGGTAGTCCAAGAAATAAAAGTAATTTTCCTTTTTAAAGCAATACTATATTTTGCTGCGCATAACTGGCTATTGTGTATAATGTACACCCACATTTTTTAGGCTCAAACTTTCAGGAAAATGCCCCATGAGAAAATGGCCAGCTCTCAGCTGAGAGAGACATCTGGGGAGGGCTAACACTCCCCCTATGAAATGTCCAGACCACACAGCCCTCCTATAGCTGCCCACTCTGTGAAGACTTCCCCTGCTTTCTCTCCTGGGAGCCCTTCCCTCTCCACCACATTCGAAACCATGGCGAAGATGGCCATGTGCATGGCTGGCAGGGTGGGGGCTTCTGAGGCCACTCAGCCCACGGGCAGCCAGGCACAACCCCAGGGTCTGCATGGCCAGGCCCTGGTGTTGGCCCTCGGCCCTCACCTTGCACAGCCCAGGCTTCCCTTGCCAGCCCCACCATTGTCCCCTCCTCTGATCACAGGGCTCAGTGGAGGCTGCTCTGGCCTGACCCCACCAGACCCTGGATCCTTCCAGACTGGAACCCCGTGCATG